CCTCCTCTGGACATGTCCAAACCACTGTCCCTCCTCTGGACATGTCCCAACCATCTCAGTGTGTCCTCTCTAACTTTATGTCCCAGTTGTTCAACCTGTGCTGTACCTCTGATGATCTCATTCCTGATCTTCTCCATCCTTGTCTCTCCTAAGGAGAACCTCAACATCTTCATTTCTGACACTTCCAGTTCTGTCTCCTGTCTTTTTGTCCATGTCTCTGTCTCCAGACCATACAATATAGCTGGTCTCACCACTGTCTTGTAAACTTTGACCTTTGCTGACACCTTTTGTCTCAAATCACTCCTGAAACTTTTCTCCATCACTCCATCCTGCCTGGACTCTCTTCTTCACCTCTTCACCACACTCCCCATGTTCCTGGACAGTGGACCCCAAGCCCTTGAAGTCCTGCACCTTTGTGACCTCTGCTCCTTGTAGCCTCACTGTTCCACCTCCTCCCTCTCATTCACACACGTACTCTGTCTTATGGGACGACTTTTGGCAGCATGATGGATCAGCGGGTATCACTTGCTTCACAGCTAGAAGGTCCTGATTTCAATACCCGGTTGGATCTGGGGTCTTTCTGTGTGGAGTTTGCATGTTCTTCTCGTGCTTGCATGGGTTTTCACCTGGTACTCTGGTTTCCTCCCACAGATCAAAATCATGCACGTTAGTCTGCCTTCAGGTCCAGGCCTCCCTTGTAAAATAGATCTGTGATCTCATTGGGATATGCCTGGTTAAATGAAGGTTAATAAATGAATAAATAAATTCCTCTTCTTTCAAGTGCATACCTCCATCTCTCCCAAGTTCTCTTCCACCTGTTCCCTGTTCTCACCACAGATCACAATGTCATCTGCAAACATCATCGTCCACGGGGATTCCTGCCTGACCTCATCTGTTAGTCGGTCCATCACCAGAGCAAACAAGAAGGGGCTCAGAGCTGATACTTGATGCACTCCCACCTCCACCTTGAAGCTATCTGTCACTCTACAGCACATCTCACCACTGTCCTGCTGTCCTCATACATGTCCTGCTGTCCTCATACATGTCCTG